CCCAAAGCAGTGTGAGTGCTGTTCTCCAGAAACCTCAGCTGATCCATGCCTGTTTCCCTTTGGCTTAAGAAATCTCAAGCCTTTTCAGTGTGTTGCAGTCAAGCAGAGTTAAGGGAAGTTGTAAGTGGATTTTACAGTGTACAGGACTGGACGAATTCATGGAGACCCAATCAGCTCTGTGTCTCTGCTTCCCGCAGTTCTCTGCTCATCTCAAGTTGCTGCAGCAATGGTTCTTTTCTTGGAGGATAACAGATGTAGTTCTTTTGGCCTGCCTTGCTTGAAGAATTCTAAGAAGCAAACCACATTCCTTCCTTTCATTCTTTCTCTGTCCCCATCAGTCTGCCCTGAAAAGTTTTCTGCTGTGGCGGTTGGTTAGACTCATCAAACACAGGCTTTTTTTTTTTTAAATAAGACCAAAAAAAAAGTTTAATGAAAATTGGATCAGAGGGTATGTAATAATCCACAATGCTAAATAGTTTATACCTGATTGCAATAGAAATAACAAATAGAGGGGAGCTCTGGTGGCCTAGTGGCAAGAAGCTGCACTGCAATCCCAGAGGAACATGGTTCGAATCCACCAGACGCTCTGCCGGAGAAGGAGGCGCAATATCCTCCTGTACCAGTCAGATCTGATTTGATGGTACACGCACACAAAATAATAAAAAATAATTAAAAAAAAGAAATAACAAATAGAATAACAAATAATAAAATAAATGTTACATGTGTCATAATTTGATTCATCTTCTTCCTCCAAGAATTACTCAGAATAGTTCTTTGCTTTTTCTAATATATGTTTCAGTGCAATTTCTTCCTTTGGTTAACTCACCAATCCAGCTGACCTCTAGTTCAAAAGCTTTGTCCTTAACTTCATCATGCACTATGCAAATTACTTTTGAAACTTCTTTGACAACATCATGGCAAGTAACTTCTTTCATCTGAAGCTTTTCAATCTGCCTTTGCAGCTTAACTGGCTTTACCAATAGCACAATTCCAGTAACCATATGAAACACCCGATGGGTCAATCATGCAGTGTTGAGTACCATCATTCATACTGTAAGAACCTAACATGAAACTGTAGCCAAAATGTCTAACAGCACTGTTGAATGGATATGCATGTACATACATGGCCACTCTGTCTGTAAGATGTTTTAGTGGAATGTTATAATCAAAGTTTGATCTAAAGTTCAAAGCTTCTTCTCTTGCTATATCTGCTAAAGAATGAGCATCTGCCAACAAGCCTGCTATTGCCATTCCAACACACTGATCAACATTAAAAAGTCATTTATTGGAACCTTCTTCAAAAAGCTTAGAAAGGACCAATATTTCTACCGGTAAGACAACATCATCTTTATACTGCTATTTTCCACAGCCTTCATATCATATTCAACTTGGAAAACTCTTCCATCAGGCAAAAATGTTGAGGCTGTCAGATCATACCCAGTGCCGATGGAGCGCATTGTGATAAAAGAACAGGGATGCATTGGCCTTCAAAGCCTCAAACACAGGCTTAATCTCATTAACCAAAAGATTGTGCTGTCATATCATTGGCGAAAATTCTAGGCCATGTGCAGTGAATTTGTGCAACAGAATTGTCCAAATCTTTAATTTTTTTCTTCATCTTGCACAGAACGTCATTTAAGTCTATCTTCTTACGTTTCATATAATGTAAGTGGAAGGAGAAACCATATAAACACCTTTAAGATCTTGTTTAGAAATTGCCCCAGTCAAATATCCAACTTAATCACTAATAAGATCCACCTACTATGAAACATTTGAAAATAATTCAGACAAGTTCTTTGCTATTTCAGTAAAAGTACTACCTTTTCCTTCACTGTCCAATCATGTACTCATCATCTTTTCTTAAAACCTCACCAGAAATACACTTAAAGTCCACAAGTCTAGTAACATTCTCTTCAAAGCACCGTACATATTGTCTAAGTCACAAATCAGGGAAGGTGTGCATCAAGGTTGTATCCTTTCACCACACTGAGCAAAGAATCCAAGAAGTTGGACCCCATAAAGAAAGATGTGGCATTGGGATTGGAGGAAGACAATGACTAATGGAAAATGAGGATTTGAAACACTTACCAATGAAGTAAAAAGACAATGGTATGGATTACACTTTAACAAGGAAACAAACAAAAAATGTTCACAACTGGACCAGTAAACAACATAATGATAAACAGAAATCATTGATGATGTCAAGGATTTCACTTTACCTTGTTCATAACCAACGTGCTTTAATGAAAGTTTACATAAGAAAATAATTTTCATACATAAATTATTTTGTGACACTAATTACTAAGCTCTATAATGTGTCCCCATTCCCTTCCTTGTTTTCCTGTTTCCATTCATGCATTTTCCCTGCCTTCTCAACTTTGGTTTTGGGCAAATGTTGCCCTTTTAAATTTATGTAGTTGACTGTTCTAAGAAGTACATTCTTCGCAGGTGTTGCTGTTTCTTCTATACGTCTGTTTATGTTATGGGAGCTCTGGTGGCTTAGTGGTAAGGAGTTGTGGTGCCAACTCAAAAGCATAGTGTTCTAATACACCAGCTGCTTCTTGGGAAAAAGATGGGCAATCTCCTCTGGGGAAATTTACTGCCTCTGAAAACCCCTTTGATGGTGCATAGCATTATTGAGGGAGAGGTGGCCTCTGACAGTGTCTTCAGTGTCAAATTAGATGATAAGTGTTAGTCTTGGTCAGTCCTCCAGTCTCAGGCGAGTAAGTCTGGTTCTTCTGCTTTCTTCTTTCTAAATTTTAATTTTGTTTTGCATTTTTATCCATTCCAACCTAGACCTTCTATATGGTCCTGGTCAACATAAACCATAAGGGTATGGATGCCATCTACTTCTTTGGTCTCTGGTTAGAAGAGGTTGTAGGTGATGGAGGGGACTAATACTTTATTTTTTTGCATTAGTCTTATGAATTAATAGCTTTCTTCTGTCTTTTATTTTCTTCATTAAGCTTTGAAAAATTTAAATATAATTGTCATGTTCTCGTTTATTCTTCGCTTCCAAACCTCCTAACACTGTGTTGCTTTTTTTTTTTTTTTAGATTTCCAGCTTTATATGCCAAAAGTCTATACTCTTTTTACCCAATGTGATTGTTGTGCTCATTCAAAACGGGCATCAGGGTCTTCACTATCCATTTATTTCCAGAAAATGGCAGATCTTTTTTTCTAGGACATGTATTTTCTAATAAATCTGTCTTTACTTTCACCTTTAAAACAAAAAGACATAGAAAAGTGTAGTCTGGCATCATCGATAGCCCTCATTGAAAAAGAAATTAAGTTTAAAAGTGAGTGGGGATTTATTATGGAATTGCCTGTTTTGTAAAAGAAAATTTTTAATGATAAAATCCGTCTTTTGTAGATAAAATTGTATCTGGAGCCTCCCCGAAGCGGCACCATTGCCATGTATAGGCAAGGAAGAAGCCAGGAAATACATTCTTCTTACCCAGTTCATCAGGATCAAAGTCTTTCATTCTCAGGTTTTTGTTTGTTTTTCTCTGTTGGGATCCAGGCAGGCTTGCACCTAAAGTGGATGACTGATTCCTTAAGCGGATTTCTCGGTCCCGGGGAAATGTGCGCCCCTCTCTCTGTGTTGGGAGAAAGCTCCAGCCCAACCCAGAAATCCGTTACAGGCCGCATTGTCCCCGAGGGCCAGTCCCCGGGGAGAGGACACCGGGAAAACCCGCTGAGTGACTCCGGGCCTGCGCGTTCTGGCTACCCGCAGGTGAGGCGCAGAGCGGCCAGGTGCGGGCGCCATGGAGCTCCTTGCCAAGTGCGCTCGGGCAGCCCCCGGCGGCTGCAGGATCTGGTCCACCTTGGAGGACAAGCCCTGGCGTCTGCGAGGGGTGCGGGGCTCGCACGGGAGCTGGGTTTCGGGATTCGCAGTTGCGTGCCTTGCGAGGGCGTAGCGGGTCCCGGAAACTTTTCTCTTACCAACCCGCTACCTTCTCTCCCTCCTTCCTGGTTCCAAAGTCGGCAGGAACAAACGGAAACAAGAAACAAAGGTGTCCCGCCTCCTCCTTGGCTAACCGTCCCTTCCCCGGCCTCCTGAATTTGAGGAGGGGGCGGCTAGAGATGCTAAGGAACGTAGTGGGCGAGGGAGGGGACTCATTTCAGGAGATGCGTTTGCATTACACATAAGTGGACTTAGTTTCCATTTTGGGGCGTATTTGAGAACCATTGGGTTCTTAGAACGTTAGATTTGGGGGTGAAAGCTGCTTTGGCGGAGCAAGCCGACTATTTTCGATTGTATGGCACAAATCAATAAACTGAAGTGTCTTAGAAATGCATTTGAAAATGAATTATTGTGTTTATTTGAGGGGCTGTCGCTGATGATGGGGGGGACTATACGCTACCACGCCGTACTTCTGCCGCGATTTCGGGAGGTCCGGGACATTCCACACTTCCAGAACCCAGCCATTTTCTGGCGAGTTTGTTGAAGACAAATCCATCAGGGAGCCCAGTGGGGCTGGGGAGGGGGCTCGGCAGTCTGCGTCTAGTGTTCACCACCAGGAGTTTGCCTCTATGTAAGTACGATGGGGGATGCCCAGGGGGAGATTTTAAAATGTCTTTCCTTTTTTACATAAAGGAAGGAGGAGAATCCGACGTTAAATTCTTTTGCAAACATTCATGCCTAAGGAAGGGCTGGAACAGGCAGCGCGGCCGCCAGAACCGGTCGGACAGGTAGCAAGCTTGTTGACACCGTTATGTTGCAGGGCGCATGCTCACTTCCAAGTTTCCTGGTGCCTTTTCTATTCCACTTTATGAAACTTTCCCCCCCTGCGTGGTCTCCGCGATTTAAGGCATAGGTGTCTCGGAGCCGGAAGGCTCGGGGGTCACCGGGCAGGCGGCGCTGCCACAGGAGCGAGGGGAGCCGACCAGCGCGTCGGGAAGGTGGGCGCCGTGTCGGGAGCGGGGACCACGTCTCCACCGTCGCTGGTAGCGGGAACCGCAGAACGCCAGGGTCCAGGTCGTAGGAGGGGCCCGCCATGCCCAAAGTCTTCCTGGTGAAGAGGAGGAGCCCGGGGGTCTCAGTCCGCAGCTGGAATGAGCTCCCGGATGAGGAAAGGGCAGACACCTACATCCCAGGTGAGCGCAGCGCGGGCCGGGCCTGGGCGCAGGGCTCCGGTGGGGAAGGGGTGGCCCGCTCACTGGGTCGGCTGCCAGGGTTGGACTCCCACCTCTGACTCCTCCTGCACACGGGAACTGGGGTCTGCTGGCAGAGGAGGGCGCACAGCCCAGCCACGCCGGGGAGAGTCCCCTTCTCCCTACTGGCGCCTGGTAATTGCCCCGCGGCCAGACCGCTGCCTGCAGTGATGGTGGGTGGGGGGCAGGGGGATGAAGCGAGGAGGGCTACGCTCCAATCCTGGGTCCTCACAGTGGTGCCCAGGGAGCTCATTCACCCTCTCAGGCTGGGCGGAAAGGGGAGTGAGACGCTGTCGTCTCGGAGAGAGGAAACTTGACGCGCATGGCCCCGGTTTCTTGTGGGCGCCAGACCTGGGATGGGGAGCAGACCCCAGGACCCCGATCTTTCCCAGGCGGCGTGCTCGTCCACCCCGGCGTTTCCCACTTGGAGAGGAGCCCGTGTCTGGGGTGGGGCGGCGACAACGCTCTCGGGTCAATCTGACGTTGCCTGTACGGGTCTGCGCGGCCCTCCCTCCACAGTGGGACTCGGTCGCCGGATCCAGGAGCCCCTGGAGGACAGCCGGAGCGACGGCGGGAGCAGCAGCAGCTGCGGCAGCGGCAGCATCGCGGGGGAGCAGGGCGGCGCCGGGAGCAGCTTGAGCCCTCGCACTCCCGGGCGCCATGCGCGCGAGCTCGGCGACGCCGACGGCCCCGGCGGACTCCCGGCGGCGAAGCAGCGGCCGGCCGCCAGGTCAAAAATCAAGGTACGGGTGTCGACTCTGCCGTGGTGACGGGCCAGCCGCGCCCGCCACGCGCGGGGACCTGGCGAGGCCTCACCGCCGCACCTGCACCTGCCCCTGGGCCGCGGCCAGGGCTCGTCCGCCCGCTCGGGCTGCGGGTGCTGCGCTCAGAGTGTAGGCTCCGGGACCGCCCCGAAGCCGCTGCAGATCGTGCATACGCCGGCCGAGAACAACCCGATAGGCTCTGAGCTTCGGAAAGGGGGAATCTGGCTCCTCCTGAATTTTACCCTCGGGGAGGCGGTTCCCAGCGCCCCTGTGGATTCTGCGTTTCAAAGCCCCTCCCTGCGTCCCGAAGAGAGAGTGGCCGGTAACTTGGCACAAGGAGGCTCAGTGACACCTGTTCCCAGTGCTGGTTAGACCGATATCTGCGTTTGTCACGCCTGTCAATCCCTGCATCTAACTGATGCATAAATGTTCTACTGAAAATCGTTTTAGCGATCCCTGGCTCTATCTACCCCAGTGGGTCGCGGATGCCTCCTGTATTTCATGCTTTAGGGCCTGCTGAGCCCTCTGGAATTGTATGCAACGCTTTATAGCTTTATTAGGACATCTGTCTGTCTGTTTTCCTCCTTGGATGGAATTTATGTCGTCGCCCATTTATTTAGAAAGCATCCCCTGTCCCCAAGATGCAAGATCCCCATTCCACAGACTTGCAGACATGGAGCCCAGGGTGCTGGTGTATGAACACTTGACCCTATTCAATAGTCAGGTGGGCCCCAGTGCTTGCTCAGGAGTTGGAGAGTAACCCCAGCTTGCTCGAACAGCTCGCCCCCCCTCCCCACACACAGATGAGGCTTTATTGTGGATTGAGAAAGCCGCTGCCTTCAGGGAGAGGAAGTTTGACCCCTTTTTGCATGCTCCTGACGGGGGTGGGGGGGTGTGTTTGGGGTTGAGACAGCCTGAGGCGCTTCTTGGCCAGGCTGGGTTCTGTATGGAGGGACCTTTTGCTTGAAACTGTTGGTGGCATTTGTTGTCTTGGATACCCTGGTTATACTTTCTTCAAGATAAGCCTTACCTGTTCTTTTGACAGTCCATCGGATATCCCATGATTTCCAAGCTGTTGGTTACCCTCCTGCAGCCAGAGTGTTCCGTGGAGGCAAAGATGGTGAAGCTTTGTCTCAAATGCTTTGGGCATATTGCTAGGAGAGGCGATTCCTTGGAAAGGGACCTCATGCTTGGAAAGGCAGAGGGTCAGTGAAAGAGAGGAAGATGCACACACACCCACCCCCCCCCCATGAGATAGATTGACACAGTGATTAACACTGGGCTCAAGTGTGTCAGGGATAAGGAGGCACAGGATACAAAATTCAGATCTCTTGTTCAAAGGGTCACTATGAGTCCTACTTAATCCAGCCAGCAACTCTGCTTGCATATTTATCACCAATTAGGGACTTTGTTTGGGTTGTAACTTGCCAGTTTTTCCCTTTGACCTCCAGTATCTCTGATTCATATGGAGAGAAAGTATCAAGCAGGAAGATACAGCCTCATGTGGAGAGGTAGGTAGATGCCCCAAGCCAATGACCTCATCTGTGGTGAAGTTAGCTCTTTGATGTGTCCTTTTTATGCCTTGACTTTTTTGAAAAATAGCTTGGGAAATTCACCCCCTCTCCCTCCAGTTTTCTGCCCCAGGGGATTTGTCCAAGTTTATGGTCATTTCCTGAATAAGCTATAAGCAACTTAGTTTTGATACTTTCTGTCTGGCCCAGGGTTGCAGCTTACTCTGTGATTGATAGGCATCTTGCAGGAAAGGATCAATAGTTGGGGTAAATGAGGTGAATTATAGCCTGCTAGAGCCTACTGTGCAGACTGTCTGGGCCTCTTCAGAAAAGGTATTATAAGAGAGGATTGATCTTCTTCTGGCTCTCATAGGACAGCTCTTGATATTCACAGGAATTTAGAAGACAAAAAGAAGCAGAAAAAAAGAAGGAGAGAGTAAGGAACTTCCTGAAAGAATTGTAACATTGGCCAAAGATTGTCACGCTGTCAGAGACACAGTGCAAAGCCAGTCCTCAGGGCTCAGAGAGCCAACACACACCGAAGGAGGGAGACTTCTTACATCCTTCATGATGACGATTTCTGGGGTGTAGCCTGATCCCCAGCTATATATTCTGTTCCTTAATAAACTGCTTAACCGTAACTCATGGTTTCTGTGGGAGTTTAGACTGGCTGAACCCAGACCAAGAAGGGAAGGATGCTGAGGGAAAGGAGAGTGGTCAGTCTCAGAGATAGGATGGGCCTGCAGCAACAAGGATGTGCAAATCTGGCATATATTTGACCTCTGTCTCATAGATATTTGCTTTGTGCTGATTTTTCTATTCGAAATTGTTTGTAGAACATCCTAAAAAATTTCTTCCAATTTTTGCCTCCAGAATAATCACCATGGTATATTAGCATTTTTTAAAAATTTAGTTTGTTTATTTTTCATTTCAGTGAACATCTACAGAGATTTTGGAATTCCATTCATTCATTGTTGCACCCTTCTCCCCGCACCAACCCCCCCCCCATTTGCTCCTCTCCTTGAAAAGCAAAAGAAAAACTCCCTCATTGGTACACAATCCCCCCCCCCCCCCCCCCCCAAACCCCCCCCCCTATCCCCAAATATAATCCACTCTGCAACCCTCATTGCATACTCCTACGATAAAAATAATGCCCTAAAATATAATACTTTTAGACTATTCTCTCCCCTGGTATATTACCATTTTCAAATGACTGGCCCAGTTAGTTACCTGTGAGTTATCAAGTTGTGAAGGAACTCGGGTTGTGCAGTGGTAGTTTGAATTCACTAGTAGGAGAAAGATCTGACAATCTGGTTTTGAAAACGTTTACAGTCGTGGAAACCCTATGGAGCATTTCTGCCCTGTCCTATACGGTCGCTAAGAGTTGGAGTCACCTCCATGGTAATTGATGCTTGGAGGACATCATGTAATTCTGGAGTTCTGACAAAGTATTCCAATTTCACTGAGGGTTTCTCTAGCAATTAGATTGAAGAGGAGAAAAATGATTTAAGAATGAGGTCTTTAAAGGTTGCATTGCTTTAATTAATTTTTAAATTGCTTATATTTAAAGAATTTGAAGACTCTTAGCTGGCAGTCACCTTATTTTACTTTATTATTTTATTCAACTTTAAAAATTGTGATTTGAGTGAAAGTTTACAAAACAAATTGAGCTCTCATTCAACTCCTCACTGCCTGCTAAGCTTCCGATCTAACTTTTAGTTGAACAAGAAAGATTTATTGAAGCAAAGAGCACTGATATTTCTGAAGGAAAGAAAAGCTCAATTTCTTGGTGTGTAAAATGAAGAAAGAATAGAACCAGACTCTTGGACGTGTTGTGTAATTTAGATGAGATGGAGGCAAGCTGTTTGACACACTTTCATAAATGCTTACTCCGCCCAATAAGCAGTTAGCTGACAGTGACATTGTGTTTTTATTGTGTGTGGGTTTCTTAAATTGAAGTTTTAATGAAAGTTTATAGAGACTTTGGATTTCCAGTGACATTGTTTCATTAATGTGTGAACTTCTGTGGCCTGGAGCAGGAGCAGGAGTATCACCAACTGATGGACCTGACATGTACATCTAGAAAAGGGTCTTTGCAAATTAGGAAATGTGTTTTTTCCCAGCCTGTTTGTCTTCTGGCTGGGCTTTGAGGCAGATTATGAAATTATTTCTTTACTGGTGAAGACTGATGTGGTGGCATTTGTGTTGTTTGTTGTTAGATTAGGTGCTGTTGAGCCCACTACAACTCTTAGTGACCCTTTGAACAACAAATCTGAACCTTGGCCTCTTCATCGTCTCTGAAATGCTTGAGCCCGTTGTTACAGCCACTGTGTCTGTCCAGCTTGTTAAGAGTTTTTCTCTCTTTCTTTAACATTCCACCTTTCCAAGCAAATATGTTTCCCCAGTGACTGGCCTCTCCTAACAACACTCCCCAAGTATGTGAGGCAAAGTGTTTGGGTATGTCCTAACTCTCAAACCAGTTCAATTAATTTTAAAGTGAAGAGTGCTAAACCATCTTCTGGTCTCAAGTTATAGGGTAGAGAAACCTGGAAATACTGATTGCTAATGTGAAGGGCTATAGGCACACGTAACTGAAGTCAGTTAGTTGACTGCTCTTGGTTCTTTCTGGACTCAGAAGGGCTGGTGAGATCCATATGCGAGGGAGGTAAGCTCATTTGTCACCTCATCCCTGTCATTTCTTTCTTCCTTGGGGTTTTTACTGACGACTCTTTAAAAGGAAGAGCTCAGGACTCCTTTAAAAGTGTTCTTGGACTCTTAGATGACCTGGCGTATTGTTGCATAGAAGTTGCCTTTAGATTTTTTTATGATTGTGACTGTTGTATTATCACTTTATGACTCCTCTTAAAGGTTTCTGTATTTAGGTCAAAAGCATGAGACTTCATGTTCAAGTAGTAGTGACACATAAGTTCTAATACCAATTGAGTGATATTGTAGGGGGATGATATCAGAAATATTATTTTGAGATAAGTGTTATTGATGTTGTTGTTGTTAAGCGCTTTCGAGTCGCAGGTGACTCCTAGCGACCCTATGAAGGAGAGTCCTTGACGCTTGGGTGCCTTTCATCCTCTCTCCAGGTTCATAGGGTTTCCGGAGGCAAGCTATGGAAGTGGATGCCACTCCTCCTTCCAAAGGATGTTAGGTCTGCTTAAACAACTGATGATAACTCATAGCAATCCTGTGAACAACAGATCCTACACTAACTTCATGACCTCTGACATGGTCTCTTTCTCAGACCCTCTGCTTTTCTCAGGATGATACCTTTTTCCAAGGACATATCCAAAGTGTGTGAGATGAAGTCTCACCAGCCTTTTCTCTTAGGAGCACCCTGGTTTCACTTCCTCTAAGACAAACTTGTTTGTTCTTTTCACAGTCCATGGGATGTCCAATATTCTTTCTAGCATCACAGTTCTAGTGGGCTAGAAGGCAGCTCTGGTGGCCTAATAGGTA